GGGGGGGGGGGGGGGGGGGGGGGGGGGGGGGGGGGGGGGGTAGGGAGGACGGTCGGCCTGCTGTGCTGCCCCGGGCCGAGCTACAGGAACACAAGCTTTGATGGGTCTGATGCAAGATGCAAGGCTTCGTAGACACTTTTCTCACTTCTTCGCCCCCCACGCCTGCCTCCCCACCGTCGAAAATTGCGGGTTGGGTCGAAACATTTTTTTTTGTTCGCTGTTCGAAACTAACTCAACAAACCACACACAGCACAGCACGCCATGATATGGTAGTATGGACTCTGTTCATGGAGGTGAAAACAGAGGGGACGCAGAGGAGGAGATTAGAGATGTAATAATAGCTTAAATATTTCAGTTGCCTTTTAATTTTCCACTTAATTTTTTTTTCTTTGCACAATACCTTTGTCTTACTTTCAACATTGATATGATTCTTTTTATTGGGAAAAATGTGTTGCAAAACTGCGTTCTCGGGGAAATTAACACACGTCACAAGTGCAGCGTGAGATGCTTGTAGGGCCGGGGCATCGTGGTCTGGCGCGGGTGTGTGTGTGCGTGTGTGTCTCGTGGGGACCGGGCCAGGCCGACGGACCGCCGAGGCTGGCAGCCAGGGGGCTGATAACGAAGACGAGCCGGGCAGGGCGGGGTCACTGGGGGGGGATACGAGTATTATGGGATCCTGAAAGAATCCCCCCGTCCCCCTTCTATAGGTCACGAACGACCCCTGAACACACAGGTCGACTCCTCTCCCCCGACACTGATCCGACGCTGCTCTCCCCATACCCAGGGCCAAGATGGGCATCACGCACGTCGACTTCAGCTCGCCCAACCTGACGCGCACCCCGAAGGACTCGCTGCTGTGGTTCCAGACGGTGACGGGCACCCGCTCCGTGCCGTACGTGGAGCGGCCGGCGCCCTCGGCGGCCGCCGTCTCCTCCGCGCCCGCCGCCCTGCTGACCGCCGCACTCGTACTCGCCATCACCATCATCGTCTCGAATAAAGGAGAAATCTCGTGATCTCAAACCGCTTCTTCTTTGTATTGGTTCGGAGAGGTCCTTCATGTTCATCAACTGGTTTGTAAAGCGCCAGTCTAGGGAGGGTGCCGCCTAGGCCAGGCGTGGATCGGATATACTCCTTGTGCATGGGACTCCTCTCTCCACTCCATGGTCCTTCCCCTATCTAGTCAGTGGCGCCCTCTCACCGCAGTGGCGGCAATATAGAAACGACATGAGCCCCTCACAGAATTCTCACACCCACCCTGTCAAGTGCCCTGCTCCACACACTGACTGCACTTTCCACTTCCCAGCAGATATTTGGAGAAGTTCCCCTCAATCTCTAACACTTTCACGCGGTGGGTCCCACATGTCCACAATAAGCTGTGATTGCAAACTCTCTGGGACTCAACGTGTTAATTGGAGAAGCACAAATTAGTAATTCTTTGAGGGCAACCTTCCGTTAACATTGGTAGCTAATCTGAAAAAAACTAACAAGCTTAAAAGTAAAAATGGTGTTGAAGAATTGAAAAATTCATATTTTAGCCCAGACTTGAGATACCCCAAACCATGTCTGTTAAGTAAAAATAAAAATCTTTCCTTCAAGGCAAAATTTCACTGAGAAATTTTTAAAGAAAGGAATATTTTACACGAGTCAGTAGGTTGTATCATCCCTATTAGTTGGCTTACAATACTGCACAAAGAGGAGAAAAACTTTAAAAAAACAGAATAGAAAGACAGAAGGTTTTTATTACAGCCAAAGGGTAGTTTTAGATTTATATGGTGAAGGCAAAAAAATATTCAAACAATAAAATTAGGGTCAGCCTCACTTCTTTCCCTTCTTTTTCTCCGCCTCTTCATCCTTTTCAGCATCAATAATTTTGATGTACTCATCAATCTTCTCTCCATCTAACATCTGAAGACAAACAAGTCAAATTTCACTGCTGCTCAAGTATGATGTAACTTATTGAAAAGTTTAACAACGGACAGAAAAGGAACTTACTCTCATGGGTTCGCCTCGCTTCATGACTGCAATTTCCAAGTTTTTGCGTCCAGATTGCACAACTTCAAGTAGTGCCTTGATTGCCAGTTTGACACAGTCCGACTCAGTCTTCATGTCTTCTAGCTTGTAATTCTTTTCTAGGTAACTACGAACAGTGGCAGCTTGTCTACCAGTAGAGTTCGCCTGAAATAAAAAAGAAAGAAATCAAATTTCCTGAACATGTTGTAGACTCAAAAAAAATAAAACAAAATTAAAGAAATTAAAAGTTGATAACTAGCTAGTTATCTAGCTAGTTACTATAGTAATCCTAGCTGTACAAACTAAATAAAAATATGAGGTAAAGAATACAAACTCACCAGCCACTCATAATATATACCAGAGGGTTCTGTTTGAAATAAATGAGGTTTGCCATCAAAGTCAAATCCTGCTATGAGACATGAGATACCAAATGGGCGACGGCCATTGCTTTGAGTGTACTTCTGTTTCATTGCTGTAAAATTTAAGCAAATTCATGAGTTTTCTAGTACATTAGTGGATTTAAATAGAGAAGTTGAGATAAGCTATATATACTTACTAGCAATGTATCGAGTAATGTACTCAAGTGTTACAGGATCCTCAACTGTTAACTTATGAGATTGACACTCTATTTGAGCTCGATTGATGAGAATTCTTGCATCAGCAGTCAAACCTACAGATTATAAAGAACATGAGAAAATTGATGAGAAAATCATTTAAAGAATACATAAACTGAATTTGTAGAAATGGAACTAAGAATATCACTGTACCTGCAAAAGCCATGACTACATGATCGTCAAGCAGGCATATTTTGCGGACGGTTCTTTCTTCTTGAAGCTTAGCAACAGATTTCTTCTCCACCCCAAGAACGACTACATCATGACCCCGAATACCAATCTGGCAACATGACATTAAATTAGGATTTAGAAATGACAGACAGTACGAACAAGTGCATGAAAATACCGATAAGATTCGCTTTGAACTAAAAATAAACTAAAACAAAGAGAAATGTTACAAAGACTACAAATTTTGTGAGGCGAGAACTACTGATAGTCATAAAATTTAAAGAAGGCATCATCATTCCCACATAACCTGATTATGAATTGACATGGTCGAAAATGTTCTTTTCACAACTAAGTGTTGTTTCAACACTAGCGAAACTGCTGTGTTATACATAATAGCTGTCACGTAACTCAATGGTCAACGGTAATAAGAAAATGTTCGATAGAATCATAGATAATGTCAAAAAGAGCCTGAAAGATGCCGGCTAACCTTGCAGTTGATGTATACTTACAGCGGTGGAACCTTTGCTGACAGCTTCTTGGGCATATTCAACTTGCAGAAGATGTCCATCAGGAGAAAATACAGTGATAGCTCTATCATAACGTGCACCCATTTTCTTTCAGGACTTTTCACAGGGACACTAGACGTTAAAAAGTTGTGCTGTCTAACGCGATGATACTGCAAACAGAGTTGTTTCTAGAGGTACAGAAAATAAGATGTGAGACTCGACTCAAGCATCGCCTTCTAGCAAAAACCTTCAAAACTTTGACAGTGTTACATGATAGCAATGACAAAATCAAAATGATACCAAAAAGTAGGTATGTAATCTTGTGAAACAGAAAATTATAATTTTTCTGAATAGAAACCTCAGTTAATCTGTATCTTACTTCGCTATTGTTCAAATGAAAGGATTTCTTGGCAGTTGGCAAGAATGTCATCTGCCATCTATCTATCTACACCTCTACGTACCACGGATGAATGAAGGAGTGGGGGCAAGTCAAATTATACGAGAGGTGTTGATTACCTAGAATTTTTAGTGTTTTCTTCTCCGTTAACTGAGTAATCTTGTAGTTTTTGAAATTTGTGCGGAGGTGCAAGCCATTCATCAATTCTTCGTGGCACCTTAGTAAGTGACATACTGTGTATTTGTTAAATGTTGGCGTATCTGGTGACAGTTCAGGTTAGGTTATGAAAAGCTTTTGTTATCATACTCACAAAACATTGGGGTCCTCCCGCCCTGTACGTCATCAGTGATTCACCGCGTCTTTACCTTTCAAAAGTGGAAGTAGATTTGCTTACCTAGCTGCGATACTCATTTGGGGTTTGCTGCCTCTGCGTGCATTTACATTACCTCCTGCTGTGAGAGTAGGCAAGACTTAAAATCATAAGATTAAAACCTGAAAATACTTCTTTTACTGATTCAAAATTGTAACCTTGTATGTTATCATTGTTTTTTGTTGAGTCTTTATATAAATGTTTGTTGTTACAGGGGTGATATACCTTCCACAATGCCTCTCGAATGGCTATTTGGTCGTCGCTTGACGCCAGAGGAGATGTTGCGTCAAAACCAACGGGCTCTAAATAGAGCTATGAGAGATTTGGACAGAGAGAAGGCTAAAATGGAGCAGCAAGAGAAAAAGATTATTATGGACATCAAAAAGATGGCTAAGGATGGGCAAATGGTGAGTTTGATTGGCACAAAAATTCTTTATTTCACTTCTCTCTTATTTGCAAGGTAATCTGAATATTAGATCCAACTTTAAGTGGCTCTGCCTTTCTTTTAAAAACACAGGACTCTGTCAAGATAATGGCCAAGGATTTAGTTCGCACCAGAAAATATGTTAAGAAATTCATGTTAATGAAAGCCAATATCCAAGGAGTCTCCTTAAAAATCCAGACACTTCGTTCTCAAAATTCTATGGCTGAAGCTATGAAAGGTGTCACAAAAGCCATGCAAAATATGAACAGGTAAATCTTATTATGCACTATTTAAGTTTGGTATATTCCTCTTAAAGAGCTGTGGTACAATTTAAACTTTTACTGTTATTAGGCAGATGAATCTACCTCAAATCCAACGCATTCTCCAAGAATTTGAGAAGCAATCTGAAATCATGGACATGAAAGAAGAAATTATGAATGAAGCAATGGATGATGCAATGGAAGATGATGGCGATGAGGAGGAAACGTATGTTTATGTTTTAATGTGTTTTGTTTGTGTTCTCAAATTATGGTGTACATGCAGTCTATTTTAATGAATGTTAATCTTTATGTGATTACAGAGATGCTGTGGTGTCACAAGTTTTGGATGAGCTGGGTCTTCAGTTAACAGATCAGCTGTCTGGACTTCCTGAAGCATCGGGTTCATTGGCTGCTTCATCCTCCAAAACACCTGCAGCTGCTGCAGCGGCTGCTGCTGGAGGTGGTGGTGGAGGTGGTGGTAGTGGAACACCAACAATGTCTGATGCTGATGCCGACCTGCAGGCTAGACTTGATAATTTGCGTAGAGAATAAGCTTTATACTTTGCTGAAATTAACTTAAAATTGAACCTTGGTTGATACCATCATTTTGCACTGACAAGATTTTTAAATGATACAATTATTTTGTTTGGCTCTTTTCATTTGTACCTTGTACAGATGTTAGTGTCAGCTGTACTGTGACCAAGTTGGTGACTGTTTATACTAGCCAATGTTTTGTTTTTTTATTTATCTGTAACTACCTACACTTCTTTTGCTTTTTAAGATATTTTAATCATAATGGTATTAATGTTTAATCATAAATGTGTAGCAAACTCAATTATAATTTCAGCCAATGAGCACATAATTTGATAATTATGTATGTTACCTTAGATTGACATTGTTTGTCTGTAAATTACGGTGGTCATGAGACTTTTGAAACTAGTAATACCTATTCTCATGTCTTATTTGAGATTAAGTCAAGCCTGGGTAATCATAAAGAGTATGGTAGGGTCACAGAAACAAAATTTCTCTCAAACTGTACCATGTTTTCGGTACTACCAAACACCACAAATGTGTTGTGCTGTCACAGCCATTAATTTCGTTGCTACATAATTATATTTTCATCTTTCATGCTGTATGTGCTGTTTAAGATGTGCAATTCTACTTTTTTAGATTTTGCACATTTATTTGGAAGTTGAACCAATATCTATCAAAAAGAAATGTATATTGTAAGATTTATGCCACACTCAATAATCTTTAAATCTACAGTAGACAAATTATTTTTTTCTAAACTTCATCTGTTTTATATGGTCCTTCCAAAGTCGCTGTGATAAGTTTGCCTTGTTGGAATTTTTTGTTGTGTTATTCTGCTTAAAAATTAAGGTGGAAACCCTTTTGTTCGAGGTACAGATAAACATATTATCTTTTTCACATCTACAGTTTTTTTTAATTAACTGATCACAATTACCCCTCACATCATAATTATTATCCTCAGAAGGACATCAAGGAAGAAAACCTGACTGTTTTCTATCACGTTTTGTTTAATGAAACTGGGAAGTCTTCGGGATCATCCAGAAAGTACGTCCGTTTTTCTCGGCAAATAACGACAGCTCAGCGCCTGCTAGACTCAAGGTAGGCCAGCCCGCCAAACGGGCATGCTCTGAAGGCATTGTGTTGCCTACCTATCAGGCGCTACGAGAGCTTGCACAGGCCGAACATGATAGGTTCGGAGCCTCAAATGCGACGGACGTACAGTCGTCTCGCTATAAGGAGTAACCTGGCGCAGCAATAGCTGTACGCAAAAATTCTTATTAAAGTGTCTAAACGTAACTGTCTTGTAACAGGAATCATCCAGTGCTAAACGATAAAGTTTGGTCCATTATTTAGTATTTAGTTTTCAGCCGTGCGATAGTTAGACTAGAAGTTAGTTCATCACGATGGTAGGGACTATTTTCTTAACGCGCAATGTTCAAGTTACTTCTTATAGCGAGGCACTTTTTGGACGCGACGTCCAAGGGATCACGGCTAGAGAGCGATCAGAAACGCACATGATTCGACCGGGACGGGCAGCATGCACGCATGGTCCGGCTCGGAAGAGAGGGAGAGGGGGGGGGGGGGGG